TTTCAAATCAGGGAATATACAATTCTAGCTACACCAAATGGACCATTCTACATTATTTTTTATCCACTTATTCCTTTACAGAGGCTATGTCACAAGGATATTGCTGTTTTAGTTCAATTCTGTGCTCAAGTCATCAGTTAGTACTTTTTACTTATACACTAAAGGCTCCGTTAAAGATTTGAAGGATATTTGAAACATATTTTATCAGGGAACACTGAACATAATATTTTTCTGGCGATTCTAGCTGGCAGAGCATTAAAACATGAAAAAGGTGGCCCAACCATGTTCAAGATTAAGCCCATGTCCATCCTTGCCATCCGCAGCAACAAACGACAGAAAACAGTCCCTAAATTTATTATTCAATAACAAAACTAGACCATTACTTTTGGAATTCAATTGATGCGAAGACAAGTTTGAGTTTTTAAATACATCGCAAATGGCGTCAAATTTATTATTTTGAATTCAATTGACGAAAAGAAAATTTTTAGCGTTTTGAAAATGGCAAATGACGTTAACATTGCTCCTTTGACATGTTTTAAAACTTGTGTTTTTCCTTCAATCTTGCGTTGAAGAGATTTTCAAGCTGAAAAATAATTTCTTCAGACTCTTCTTTTTCACTATCAGTTACAGTGAAGAAAAAAAATCATGGACAAAGCGTTTCTATCCCTTAAGGCAAACTTATACGATGTAACTTAAATTGCCCACGAATGATTGCAAGTAGCTCGGAAGGAAAAGGAAAGGTTCCCAGACCGGTAAATGAATCATTTTAAAGCTTTTATATGGATGTTGATGGGTCACTTAAGCCATAACTTCCGGGTAATATTTTTTCGAAGGGCGGCAAAGTCGTCACGTCGTCAAATGACGAATCGATCGCGAGACGCTGCCAATTACAAAAAAAAAAAAAAGAAAAAAATGATGAAAATACGGAGGGGAGAGGAAACCACACAATCGCGAAGGCCTCAATTTTAAAAGATACTTCTCTTTCAGATATTTCAAAGGTATAGAGCGATATTTTGACGCCAAAACCCAATTGAGATTGGACATGAGCAGAATCTCCACATGGAACACGTTCTTCCTGGTTACTGAGTTCTTTGTTAGCTTTTTTGGAACTCTTTCCAACGGTTTAGTAATTTTTACAGTACTTAGAAATACCCATCGCCTAGCATCACCAAGCTATCTCATATTCAGTATCGCTGTTAGCGATATCCTCTCATGCTTAATAGCAGTTCCATTTTCAATCGCCGGCCACTTCTTGAAGGAATGGCCGTTTGGAATGGCCGGTTGTCGAGCTCATGCCTTCATGATATTTCTTCTTGCTCTGGTCTCTATCACTCACTTAACAGCCATCTCTGTGGAGAAGTACCTCACCATTACCAAGTCGTTATTGAAGGAATCTTATTGGGATACTAAGCAAGTGATACTGGTAATATGCGCATCTTGGGTGTACTCTTTTGGCTTCAGCGTAGCCCCCCTTCTCGGATGGTCTAGTTACGGCATGGAAGGAACCAACGCAACCTGTTCAATCAAATGGGAATCTTCGGCTCCAGAAGACAAGGCATACCTCGGAATCATGTTCGTTGCTTGTTATTTTCTGCCCATCGTTGTTATTGCGTTTTGCTATCAGAAGATACATAAAGTTTCCAAACATGTCGTCAACGCCACTTCTCAGATGGGTGATTACGCGATAACAATGACAAAGGCTCTCCTAAAGAAACACCGAAAATCTGCTATGTATTTTACCGCGGTGATAGCAGCCTATCTTCTTTCGTGGACTCCTTACGCTATTGCATCCTTAATTATAGTTTCTGGTCAAAAGGTACATCCCATAGTTTTGAGTGCATGTTCTGTGTTTGCAAAAACGTCGTTTTTCCTCAACCCCTTCATGTACGTCATATTTTCTCGCAGATTTCGACGTATCATGAATCAGTCGATTCCAACAGCTAAGCGAAATCGACTGATTAGACCAGCCCTTACCCGTATGCACTCAGAGACAGCCTCAGTGCTTTGAAAGCATCCTTTATGACACTTACAATACACATTGTACAGTTATCAAACATTTAACCTTCAAATGAAAACACAGGCTACATTTTTATATTGAACTTTCGAATCGGCTTATTATGTAACTCGCAGTAGTAAGCAATATGGTTATCTGTGAATGTTCGATTCATTTACCAGGAAAGCTAGTATAGCTTCTAACCGTATGTATTGGGATAGCCTAGATGCAGTGGAACGTCTGAACAGCACCAACCTTCAGAAGAAACTACGTAAAACACAAACATTGAATATTAGTTTGCAGCGTACTTAACTCATGCAAGACGTACGTACTGTATGATGGTATGTAGCAGGGAAGGAAGTGGAATTAATAATAACAGTAGTTGTTGTGTAGTGACAAAATTATCGCTTGCCTCCATTTACCTTGTCATAAATGTTTACTTGTATCTTTGATCTAGATATGAGCTATATCGTGTCTATCTAGTAATTATCGCTCCTTGTCGCCCCAAGTAAGGGAATACGGATTCAGGAATCCGGGAAATTTTTGCTTGTAAAATCTGAAATCCTGGGCTTTGGAATTCGGAATGCAGCTTTAGGAACCCGGAATAAGTCTAACGATTGGAATCCGGGATCCTAGTTCCACTTACAAAGATGTTAAATCCACGTCGTGAAATCCAGAATGCAAGACTGTCTTGGATTCCATTACATGGAGCGATGCTTAAGGCTGCGTGCAAACGGACGCATTAAGTCGCAACATTGTTGCGCCAACAATGTTGGGAGTTGTTGCGTGCATGTTGGCAGTGGTGTACAAACGGATGCAACAACTCTCAACAACGTTGGGACTTACAGTGCATCGTGGGAAGGATACAACCCATAAGTCTTTGTAAACCATGCGTAATAAGCGTGCGCGGTCCCAACAAAGTTGCGCTACGCTTCGCCGATCATGCATGAGGCTTAAGAATAAGCATTGGTTCTCGATCTGCTAACCGCGTTTAAGATGGATGCTTTGGAGAATTGGAGTATAATCGTCGTGACGATTGAAATAGTCATAAGTCTCTTAGGAATCTTCTTCAATGGCTTGGTAATTTTGACAATTTGCCTGAATATTTATCGTCTCTCAGCACCCAGCTACCTCATACTCAGCATTGCCGTGAGTGATTTTCTTTCTTGTTCTTTGGCTATTCCATTTTCTATTGCAAGGCACTTTAAGAAGAAATGGCCGTTTGGAATGGCTGGCTGTCAAGCTCATGCGGTTATGATCTTTCTACTCGCTTTGGTGTCATTAACTCATCTGGCTGCCATCTCAGCTGGGAAGTATCTGACAGTAACCAAGTCCCTTTCAAAACAGTCCTATTTTGATACTAGAATGGTAAGAAACGTGATAGTTTCGTCCTGGATTTTTTCCATCGGTCTCAGCACAATACCGTTGATAATGTGGTCGAAGATCAATGGCTTGGACGGCAGTCATAACGCATGCCTCTCGGATAAACACGTACAGCAACCGTCTGTTCCTAGCGATAAGGTATACTTTGGAGCTGTTTATTTCTTTTGTTACGTTATAGCCTTGGCCGTGATCACTTTTTGCTATAACAAAATCCACAAAGTTACCAAAAACATTGTTCAGAACACACGCCAGATGGGCGGTTTGCCTGCCATGGAAATGCGACGAGCTCTTCTCAACAAGCATCGCCGATCAGCGATGTATTTTTTAACCGTTATAGCTGCTTTCATGCTGTCGTGGTCTCCTTATGCTGTCGTGTCCTTTCTTACGCTCCTATCAATAGGGCTGAATCCCATTGCTACAAGCGCCTGTAGTGTGTTCGCTCAAACATCATTTTTTCTCAACCCAATCTTGTATGCTATAGTCTCTCGTCGATTTCGAAGGCGCATGGTCATAGCTGTTCCAGCGATGAAAAGACAACATAGAAGGATCAGACCAGCTGCTGTAATTTCGAGTGTCGGGCCACTAGCCCTTTAAAACACATTTTTGTCTAACAAGTATGTTTTAAGATGAGCCAAAAAAGCGTATATCTGTTTAGATGGCATTAGCGGACGTGAGTTATTCACTACCTCGAGGAACACTAACGACCAGAAAGGCACATATTTCCAAGTCAAAATTCTAAGAGTCGGCCTAAACAGGTGCCCAGTTGATAAGCTGATATTTCGGAAAAAAGGAACTAGGCTTAAACATTCAAGTCTTGTCTGGGTCGTCTAGTTCTGTATATTAAAAGCTTTAATCAGTAACTTATATTCTGTGCTAAAATAGACGTACTTTACTTAAGCAAGTTTAATAGAAAAACATGTATCAGTATCTCAGTAGTTAATAATATAATAGCAATATCAACTGCTCGCAATCAGTTTTAAAGACCGATGAAAATGTACCTGTTAGTGAAAACTGTAAGAATAAGAATAAGATTAAATGTTTCCCTGGAAGGAGGAGTGTCTCTTTAAAATTTTGTATCTCTGCTTGTTTGACCTTGTTTGCCAGTTCTCTCTTTTAGCTCGCCGATGAATGGTCTTTGAAAAGAGAAGGACTGGATTTGTTGGCGAATAAAAAAAAGTATTATATTCAAAGCATAGGGGAATCCTCCCCCCTTTTTTGTTCTAACAGCCGATCCTTAAAAATATATGCGTTATCCCAGCCGTTCTCAACCTGTCTGCAGGATAAGAATATTAGTTAAATCCAGCTGTCTTTTAACACCGTCAGTCAGGGGAAGGATATGCGAGACCTTACAAAGTCGTTCATTGTAGTGAGCAAATGGTTTTATTTGGATATGTTAATTCTTTACATTAAATTTCCATATCGTTATATACTATAATTTTTCTTCAAACATAACTTGGTAAGCTTATTAAGCGAGCAGTACCTTCAGCTCTGCGTGTGGATCACTGTATCTCTTCAGAAACGCTTAACCCCCTTACCACCCACCCCCCCCCCTCCCGCCGTCAATCGTGAAAAGGACTGCCCCTAACCAAAACCCCTCAAAAAGTAACAAAGCATGTTGTGTAACATGCTTAAAGGTGTGACATATCTGTAATGTTTTGGAGCCAGATATTTTTAAAAATATTTTTAAGAAATATTTTACAAATATTTTAAAAATATTCAAGAAAAACAAACGTGGAAATAGGAACGTTTGATCTTCAAACGCATTCGTGTTAATCTAGAGAACGATTGAGGATTAATAACAAAATTATTATGTTCTTACAAAGTGCATCGTGCATTTAACTGAACAATCTGTCAAGAATAAACTAAGCCGGCAATGTATGCACAAACAGCGTTGTCATAGTTCTTCTTAGTAACTTTGCACATGCAATCGAAATAGTCTTTCACAAACAAGTTACAGTTTGTATAAGCCAATTATATAGAGCCACACTTTCAAAGGTCGATGAATTTAAAGAGAGGGTCAACGATTGTTTGTTATCAGGCGTTTCTCTATGAACTAACAATTCTAAGGTAGGTAAATGGGCGGATGCAAATTTTTTTTTCAAGAAACTGACAGTCATGAGGATACGCTAATGAATTCAGTACATAGCCAACTGTTTGGATGGGCATAAAATAAGTCTGACTTATTCGAAACTCGATTGCTTGCCAAGCACGCAAGTACACATAACAATTGTCTTTGATAAGCCGCCATCTGCTCGTAACTTGAAGGTAACCGTTCATGATACTCGCCAAATTTAACGCCATTTGTGCTTCCTGGGAATCTGTTCTCTTTTCATCATGCTATTAAACAGTAGAGCAAATACAGTTAATAATTACTCAGCAGGTCAGTAAGGTTTTTGGGAAAAATGGGGGATTAGAATCCGTACGAACGCAACTACTGTGGGCAATGTTCATGGAAAGCAGCACAGCGTTTTAATGTTCTTCTTTTAAAGATAATTTACAGAGCGTTTTTGTGTAGAATGCAATTTTTTGTTTTCGTAATTCTTGTTCCGTATACCTTCTGGGTCTATAAGAGCTGGTTCAAAGAAAAGTCTATCGTGATAGTTAACAATTTTGTTTGTTTTTATTCACCTTCATTTTCTTATTAAGGACGTCGGCCTTTTGTGTCTGGAGGGTTAATATAGCCATAACATGTCAAAATGGTGGCTTTCCGACAAGATAAACAGGACAAGAAAATATTTAAGTATTTTTAACAAAGCGGTAAATGTAAATGGGAAAATTAACACTATTAAATGTATTACTGCAAAGCCAGGTTTTTTTTTTATTATTGGTGACCATCTTGGACGCCACCGACAAGGTAAAAGTGAATTGAAAAATTAAAAAAAAAAAAAAAAAAGAAAGAAAGAAAGAGAGACGCTCTGATTTTTGATACTCCGAAACTGAAGGCAGTATCGATGGCTAATTTTACTAACAAACCTTATTATTATTATTATTATAATTATTATTAAACATAAAGGGTCGGTTATTTAAACGAAATCTAAGTTAGACCGTGGTTTAGGAAATGTTTCGACCTCCAGATCTCTTCTTCAGTGGGTTATTTTAAGAGGACAAATGCTTTTCCAGTCTACGCCATATGCTTTCATGAAATTGTTCACGATAAATAGTGTTAACATAAAAGCGTACGGCAAACTGATAATGGCTTAGAACGCGGTTTTAATTGTTAAACACTGCCTACACTCCGTTTAAATAATTGGCCCAAAGAATCTGTTCTTTAGTAGTATATAAAGATACAAACAAGGCACATTCTTCCCAATCCTGACCTAGTGCCATGAAAAGTAAAGCCGTATTATTTTTCACATTTCTTGTTATACCCTTAAAAAAATGGAACAGGAAAATTCATTTAGTAACACGTTTAATATATTGTAATTCACTCACCTTGGCAATAATTATAAACTCCTCTCAAACTGCTGTAAGCAGGCAAATATTTCTTTATCGCAGTGCGTCCATAAAGGGGACAATTGCTCATTTTAGCGACACATTAAAATAGTGGCCATAACAAACTTCTGGCCGCAGCAGCACTACTTAGACCCTGTTTACATGGAGTGTGGGACCCCGGTCTAGTGGGGTAGGTTTCT